TCTACCTGCCTCCACCTCTCTTTCTAGAGTTCTGGGATTAAAGGCATGTGCCATCACTAGAGCTCCTAAATTATTATAAGTCCACAGAAGAGGAGGCATTCCTGAGGGATACTCTCAACCTGCAAGTGATTGACAGGCACATTTGGATGAACTTTTTTGAGGGAGGTGCAGTGTATGTGTCTGTCCTTTACCAGATGGTAATCTTGTAGACAGTTGGGGACAGCCCACCTCCACCCAGGCCAGAGCTGTCCCTTAGCTGCTTTTCTGACCAGCACCAAGTTCTTGTTTTTACTGGCTGCTAAGGAGTAGGGAAGGGGCCCAGTCACAACAGCCGAGAAGCCTTCACATATTTGCACAGCCACCCAACTGCTTGAGGCCAGACTTAAGATTCCAGTGAGTCTGATCATTGCCTGGTCATTTCCCAGACTGATGACAGGAGCCCAGACTAGCCAAGTTCCTTCTGGTTTCTACTGAGCCTTGATTTCCTTAGTGTTTATAATAGGGGTTAGGGTCCTAACCTGACAGGGCTGTACCTGGCCGTTTCAGCAGCCAAATAGGAGGTCAGGAATGGCTTCCAATTGAGATTCTGGGCAAACCCAAGGCCAGAAGGCAGGAAGGCAGGACGACAGGATTGGGTCTGCTTGTCTGGATTGTCTAGCCAGGTGGCCGGTGCTGGAAGGCTCACCTAGGGACATTCTAGACTTTTCTGTGTCACATATTCTAATGAGTTCCTTACCTTAGCATCAAACATGTTCCTTCCTTGAACGTTATCAGTGATGACATAGTTTTCTAGAAATCACACAAAACTGATGGGAAGGTGGGGACTTGATGTCTGTTCAATAATAATAATAATAATAATAATAATAATAATAATATAGTGCGGGCCAGTGAGGTGGCTCAGTGGGTAAAGGAGCTTAGTACCAAGCCTGACAACATGATTTGATGCCTGGGTCCCACATGATGAAAGGAGGGAACCAACTCTTTTTTTTTTTTTTTGGTTTTTCAAGACAGTTTTTCTATGGCTTTGGAGCCTGTCCTGGAACCAGGCTATAGACCAGGCTGGCCTTGAACTCACAGATCAGATCCTCCTGCCTACCTCTGTCCCTCCCAACCCCCAGTGCTGAGATTAAAGGCTTGTGCCATCAATGCCCAGCTGGGAACCAACTCCTCCACATAGAGGCCATGGACACACATGCGCACATATAGATGTTATGGCACACATATGAAGGTTAGACAACAGTTTGCAGGAATCTCTCCATCATGTACGTCCAAGAGTCAAAGTCAGGGTGCTAGGCTTGGCAAGCTAGCACCCTATTTTGCCCTAGGTTCTTTCCTTCCCTCCTCCCTCCCTTCCTTCCTTTCTTTCTCTTCATCTTTTTATTTTCTTTTTCTGTTTGTTTTTTGAGACAGGCTTTCTCTGTGTTTGTCCCTCTTTTAGACAAGGCTGACCTTGAACTCACAGAGATCTGCCTTGCCTCTGTCTCACTGCCCAGCTCTTTTTTTTTTTTTTTCTTTAAAGATGCATTCAGTGTTTTGCCTGCATGTCTGTCTGTGTAAGGGTCTTGAATACCCTGCAACTAGAGTTACAGATGCCTGTGAGCTGCCATGTGGGTACTGGGAATTGAACCTGGGTCCTCTGGAAGAGCAGCCAGTGCTCTTAACTGCTGAGCCATCTCTCCAGCCTCTCTTTTTTTATTTTTACCTTTTGAGATTGTTTTTGAAAGCCACAGAAGTGGGACCTACATAAAAAGTCAGATGCAGTGGTTACATCTGTAGACCTGAAGGGAAGCATAGACAGGGAACTTACCAGGATAGGCTCTGCAGGCTAGCCAGCCTCAAGTGCACAGCAGCAGAAAGAGACGCTGCCTCAGAACTAACTCCCGCAAGTTGTCCTCTGACCTTCACATGATCTTCACTGTGGCCTACATGCTTCAATGTTTGAATACACACATCAATGTTTGAAACATTTAAGTTCTAGAATATTCCAATTACTAACCCTGAGAGGCAAAGGGGCAGCAATGGGGGTGGAGGTGGGGAAGCAGCCAGCTTCCAGAGGAGGAAAGGAACAAACTTTAGCATTTCTGCAGCCAAATAGGACCAGGAATCCTGCCAAAGGGAAAGTGCAGGGTTGGGAGCAGGCCTGATCTGGCATGGACATTTAGGAGAGGTTCTAGGCCTCAGTGTGGAGCCTCCACTCCTGCACCAACCTCCAATCCTGGCAATCCCCAGCCCAGGAAGGCTCTTACTTAATTGGAGTCGGATATGTTGGGGGGAGGGGTGGACAAAGGCCTTTGGGCCTTCCTGTAGAGTCCTGTGTCCTGCACTTGGCCTTGCCTGGGATCCAAGCCAGTTAGTGTTGATTCTTAGTGGCTTGGGAACAAATGCAAGAAGCTGTTTTCCTGAGGCCTGCGCTTAGAAGAGTTTAGATCCCCCCTGCCTCCCCCCCCCCACAGAACAGGTGGGGTGGGAAGGTAGGGGAGTGTGACATGGTCTTGCAGGAGGCTGGGAGACTGTTCCAGGCTGGGTGCTTCTTCCTGACTGGAAAGGATTCAGATGAGTCGTGTGTTTCACCACAGATGACTCTAAGGGTCTCTTCTGATGGCTCTGGCTGAGTGGCTGAACCTCTGCCCAAAGGAGATAAGTCAGTTTGGTTGCTCTCTGTTAGGGGAATTTCCAAGAGGAACTCCCAATGGCCTTCGAACAGTTTCAGCTCACTCCACTTCTAGGCTTTTCTCTGGGATCTGCTGTGCCCCAGAAGGGAGCCTGTGACCCTTCTCACCCCATTCAAGGGTCTCTGGATCTAAGCGTTCTTAATAGTAGTGACACAGGCTAGTTTCTCAGGTGATGAGGACGCATTGTTCTACAGACCTAACCAGATTGTCTGATGGGCCTAGTGGTGGCACACACCTTTAATCCCAGCACTGAGGATGCAGGGTCAGGCAGATCTCTGTGAGTTTGAGGACCCCTTGTCTACATATGTCTGAGTGGGACAGGGAGACTGTGTGGTGGCTCAAGGCATTGATGCTTTAGTGAGGACCCCTTGCAGAGCTGGAGGGCCCTATAGGCTCCTACTACTGTATGGAAACGCTGGGAATTACATACACTCGACCTTTTGCTTTTGTTTTCTTTGGAAACAGGGTTTCCCTGTATTGTTTTGGAGCCTGTCCTGGAGCTAGCTCTGTAGACCAGGCTGGCCTCAAACTCACAGAGATTCTCCTGTCTCTGCCTCCCAGTCCAGTGCTGGGATTAAAGGCGTGTTTTGTCATCAATGCCTGGCTGACCTTTTGCATTTATAAAAAGATTTCCTGTACAGTGGTGGCATATGACTTTAATCCCAGCATGTAGGAGGCAGCAGGGGGATCTCTGTGAATTTGAGGCCAGTCTGGTCTACAGAATAAGTTCCAAGATAGCCAGGACCACACAGAGAAACCCAGTCTTGAAAAACAAAAAATAATTGAAGATTTATATTTTATTTTATGTGTATGCATGTGTGTGCTCACTTTCCACTGACGTCAAAAGAGAGCTTTGAGACCCCTGGGACTGGAGTTAGGGATGGCTAGGAGCTACCACGTGGGTGCTGGAAACCAAACCCAGGTCCTCTGCAAGAGCAGCCAGTGCTCTTAACCATGAGTTGCCTCTCTAGCCCCCACACTTTACTTTTTGTGTTCATGTAGGCACACTTGCACGTGATCCCTGCTTGTGCAGGTTAGAGGTCACCCTCAGATGCTATTCCCCAGGTACAGAGCACCTTCTCTCACCTTTAGATATGGTCTCACAGTGAAACCTGGGGTTCATTAATTAGGCTAGGCTGACTGGGCAGCCAACACCAGAGATCCTGTCTCTATCCCCAGGTGCTGGGATTGCAGATATGTACCATTATGCCTTTTTATGTGGGTGCTAAGAAGCACACTCAGGCCATCACATGAATGGCAAGCACTTTATCCACTGAGCCACCTCCCCAAAGCTCCAGCCTTGGGGTTCTTCTCTGTAAACCAGGACACAAACATACAAGAGGTTTAGTGTGGGACCTATTGCTTCAGGGCAAAAGATGGCAGCTGTGGAGGCAGCTCAGAACAGCTCTCCTATATGATGTCAGCTCAGAATGATAGACTGATTCTGACCATGTGACAAGAACTGCACTACAGCCGTCCCATCATGTCAGGATGGGAATATTCTGGGTTTCCATGGCCTTCGTATGGAGGGCATAGGAGGTGAACTCATTCTTTTCCAGGTAGCATTGGGTTGGATCTGAAAGAGTCTCTGTCCAGTAATACCTGGACAGAAGCAAAGCTGCTTTAGTTCATGCAATGTAGCTGGCCTGGAGTAATAAATACTATCTGAAGCAGAGCAGATCTGTGCCAAGTACCAGTCACATTTTCCCAGGTAATTCCAGTGAGGAATTTTTTACCTCAGCCATTCGGCATCAGGCCCCAAAGATTGTAGTCATTTTGGGTGAATCGAAATTGTCTGGCTCTTTAATTCGGGAGGAATGCACAGTCCTGACAAGCTGCTGCAGAGCTCATGTTCCTTTAGCTTCCAGGTTCAAGACACCCCAGCTCAGGATATATATAGTTCTCAGTGTTGGGCTCTTAGGAATGAAGCTTGAGGTCTGTTAGGGTTTAGGGAGAGCCAAGACCAGAGACTCAAGGAGGGAGTATCATTACAAAATGAAGGCCAGGTGTGGTGGCACACACCTTTAGTCCCAGCACAGGTGGGCATAGTGAGGCAGAGGCAGGTGGACCTCACAGTGAGTTCCAGGACAGCCAGGGATCCACGGAGAAACCCAGTCAGGAAAAACAAAGCAGACCATTGATACTCTTAGATGCATGCTCCCAAGCAATGTCATACATGCAAATTTCACACAAGGGAGAATAATTTCTGGCTATTTTAGTACGAGTTCATCGGCCAAGGGAGCAGGGGAAAGCGCAGTGCTTCATCTTTGTTCTGAAGAACACACTAACAGCTTCCATCCTGTACAATGTCAGACTGAAACATAACTCTTTGACCTTTTAAAATAACATTTTATTTACACATCTTGATTTTTGCTTTCCTGGAACTTTTTTTTTTTTAAAGACTTTCAAGTAGTTTGGAAACCTCTGCCCATCTGCTGCTTCCTCTGGCCACAGCCTTCCCGGGCATTTTCCCTGACCTGTGCTACGGAGAGCAGCAGGGCTGCTTAGTGGACTGTAACGAAATGAGGAGCCAGCTTTGGATACTACTTCCGATTCTCTTAATTAGCATGCTGCCATCCACTCTGGCTTCTGCAAGGTCAGATGTGCAAGACAAGTGGGGCTGAGACCAGGATTGTTACAGTGTAAAATTCGTTCTGGATAAAGCAGAAGCTCTGTGAGAGGTGGATCTGCTCCTGCCCTGACTGCAGGCTCCTGTGTGGCTCAGGCCTGCGGATCTGGAGTGCTGGTCTACCCTCAGGAAGAATCACATGGGTCTGAGTACACTCGTTCTGCAGTTACAGGTGGGGTTTTGGGAAATGCCAGAGCACATTCCACAGAGCTGCACAGTGATCAGCAATACAAGCAGTGTTGTGAAATGATACATCAGGCGTTCAGGTCAAAGGATGAGGTCCAATCAGAAAACAAAAGTCCTCAAGTGTGACACTTCAAACCTTTGGCTGATAATAAAGCAGGAAATTAAAATGCACTACACACTGCTATCCTAACTGCCCAGGCTCTTCTAGAAACTAAATCAATCCTAACATGGTATCCCCTCAATTCTGTTCAATTACTATTCTACTAGTTATCTGATGTTCCTGGCTCTAGAGAGAGGCACACTACCCCTCTATTGGTCACAGTAAGTATGATATGGCTGTCTGAAGGAACTCTGCAGCCAGGTTCTGGAATGAGAAGCAGCCTTTTCTTAAATCCTAAGATCGAAACTGAAAATCTGCCCACGCTCCCTCTAGCTGAGACCTGAACATGCACCCGACCTGTAACCAGTTAGTATCCACCGACCCCAGCAGAACACATAATCTTGTCAGGGCTTCTCTCCCTTGCTGACTCCTGCTAGATGGAGGATATTCTCAGTTACCTCAGCTGAGCAGAGCCAGAAAGGCTTTTCCTATTTGACAGGCACATTTCTTACAGAGTCATCAATAGAGCTGTCACCATCTGCCCTACACTGGGTCTACTCCATCTGCCCCAGTTCCTTGTCTTTCTGGCCCTCAAGCCAGGCAAGTTGGATGCTGAGGACAAGCCTGTGCCTGCTTTACAATCTTGCCTTTCCTCTGTGACATCCAAGCAGCTCTTCAACTCCACAGGGCAAGGGGGGGATGGCAGGAGAGATGATTGTTCTGCAGTAGGCAGCAGGTCTCTCTCCTGAAAGGCAGCTGGGGCCCCTGGGAGGTACTGTGCTTTAGTGCTAGGTAATGCTGCCTCTGAGGTCACATAATGTCATAAACCTACCCCAGAATTCAACCGCAAGTGCTCCAACTGAATAAATACAACGGAAGAACACACAACATTGGGGTCCACCCAGCTGGAGGGCAGAATGACCACCAGGTGTCTGAGCTCTGAGACTCACCACCTGGGGAAGCGCTGCCACGCCTCTTTCAGTCTCCTCACATCACACACAACAAATGAAGGGGCCACATGACTGCTGTTCATCCTCAGGCATACTTATTAGGGCCCACCCTCCCACTCTGCAAAGGTCCCAGCACACCCTGCAGTGCCCAGGAAGTCTCAGGGACAAGTCTCTCAAGGTCACTTGCCCCTCTTGCTGCGGCCCTTCCTGGACGGCAGCTTCCCACCGGCCCCTGAAGAGGGTGGGTTGGGGGCCGAGGGGATGTTGATCTGCCCTTCTTGGATCTCTTGCCGAGTCTCTGCAGGCAGGTGGCTGATCTGCTGCTGTGTTTCCAGGTAGAACATGACATCACGCAGCTGCTCCTGGATCTCGGTGATCTGAAGGTCCTTCTGATCACAGGTTTCCTTCAACAGCCTCTCCTCTTCCTTCAGCTTGTTCTGCAGCAGCAGCTGGTTGGCACGGAGACACTTGTTCAACTCCTGCTCCTCCTGCAGCTCTGTGCTGAGTTTGGCCACTCTTGTGTTCAGCTGAGTGCACCTCAAGCAAAACAGAGAGAACAGATAGCTACAGCAAGAGAGTCCATCCCAAAGACCAAACCAAAGCTTGGTATTGTGGCACACATCTTTAAACCCAGCACTCAGAAGGCATAGGTTAGGGTAGATCTTTGTGAGTTCCAGGGCAGCCTGGTCTCCATAGTGAGTTTCAGGCCAGCCAGGGCTACATAATAAGATACCGTCTCAAAAACAAAACAAAACAAAACAAAACAACCAAGATAAGGAACAATAAAGGAAGACATTAAATGCTGACCTCTGGCCCCCACGGCTCACCCTTGAACACATGCATAAACATACACACATACAACAGACACACTTGTTCACAATGGCAAGTTTTTATATTATAAATTGTTCACAATTAAAAATAAACACTAGGCCAGCACTTTGAGGGGCAGAAGTAAGGAGATTTCTGTGAGCTGGAGGCCAGCCTGGTCTACAGAGCGAGTTTTAGGACAGGCTCCAAAGCAATGCAGAGAAACCCTGCCTTGAAAAGCAAAGGTTATTTTAAGAGAAACAACACTAAGGACCAAACATCCCTTTAAAGTACCTTTATGTACTATACTGTGTGGTCACAAAAACAGTCTAGTCACCTCTACAGTATAATTAAAACCAGGGAGGAAATCTTACCCTCTTCAGTGCTTGTAATCAAGCCCAGGTCCTTGTGCATGCTGGGAAGATGCTCTGCCACTGACTTACAGGCTAGCCACTGCTACCAGTAACAACCATTCCCCTCACCCCCCACTGCAGCATTGAGTGTTCTTGTCATGCTGGTCATGGCTCTTTTCTCTAGGCTTGGCATCATTAGCCCTTAGTTCTGTCCAAGGGAGAACCTGTGACATGGATTTAGACAAAAACGTCTTTCCTAACTGCCAGCTCTCAGCCAAGACAACTCTCAGAAACTGCAGGCAGAAATGGCAGCCATCTGCACACAAGACAAGCACTTGGATCACAGGAGAGTACAGTGATCCACCTGGCACCTACCTCAAGTGGAACATAAATTGCACCTTTTTTGTTTTTACATTTCATTTCCTGAATGTGTGTGTACACGTGTCAAGGTGCACATGTGGAGGTCTGAGGACCATGTGTATGGGAGTCAGCTCTTTCCTTTTACCAAGTGAGTCTTGGGATCAAGTATAGGTTGTCAGGGTTGGCAGCTGAGCCAGGAGAAGTCACTGTAACTCTGCTCCAAATACAGAGACCCCTGAAAACCTCTATGATGCATATCCTGAATATGGAGTTTAGCCAAGGAAGCAAAGCAGCTCTCTGTAAGAGCACGCTGGCATGTGTGGCACCAAGAAGAATTAAGGGATACCTACTTTCTTTCCACAGACTGCTTCTCCTTCAGGAGGTCACTGAGCCTGAGCTCCAGGCTGTCACACTTCTCGATGGTCTCTTTAAACTTGGTCTTCATGTTGTTAATCTGAAAGTGCAAATGGAGGTCAGGCAGAATCATATTTTTCTTATGACCTCCCCCATCCCCACCTCACTCCATCTCTGTAACCAGGACAACCCAAACTCAGAAAGTCCGAGTGAGCCAAATGGAAGAAGTGTGACAAAAAAACTGAAAAAATGAGAGAAAAACTTTCTTCTAGGATAAACAAGGACCAGGAGCTTCCAGATGCGCAGGAAAGCTACTGAAAGAATCAAACAAGGGCAATCCAGGCTTTGGAAGAGAGGAAGGCTTGCCTCCCCTGTCCCCTCCAGAACACACTCCTGAAGTCTCCAAGAACCAGTGAAGAGCTGAGGTGCTACCTCCCCCTGCAATCGCAGCACTTAGGGGGCTAAGACAGGAGAATTGCCAAGAATACTCTGCGGTACACAATGAGTCTCAGGCCATCCTCAGCTATAGAGAAGGAGATCCTGGGTTAATGAACTTTAAAAAAAAAAAAAAAAAAAAGAACTCAAAAACAAAAGAAAACCATGAGACTGGATTCTACTAGTTTGGTTTTTCTTTGTTCTCCAACTTACTGTTTGCCTGATGTAGCATGAAGCCATATGAACTGCATGTTTGTCTTGGGGTCGGAGAATTAGAAAGAATTCAAGTTCTGCATATTACGTAGGTGAGGCAAAAGCAGTCCCACCAAGAGCCCACCAGAGTCTAGCTAGGGGAGCGGGAACATTTGACTGACCCACATGTGAAGAGCTGCAGAGCTGGGAGCTACAACTCCAAGTCTTAGAAACTGAGGGAAGATGAGGGGAGCAGGGGAGGTGGGGGCTGGGTAGCTAAGCACCAGCATTCAGCAGCCTTTATACTCACACCTCTCTATAAGAGATGCCACAGGTCAACAAGCTTCTGAGGACAGGCTCAGGGAAGGTCAAGGCAATGTCCCATGGTCACTCAGCCACAGGGTAAGGGATCCTGTCCAAGACCAAGCCTGGCCAAAGCCAAGCTATAAACCCCTCTGAAACTGAGGGCCAAAGTTTTATGTCTTATACTTGGGGCACATGTGACACCCAACACACTAGGGTCATACTTTAGCCTTTCTTTTTTGCCTTGTCTGATTTATCTAGCTATCTACTTATTTCCTTTGGTTTTTGAGATAGGGTTTCTCTGTGTAGCCTTGGCTGTCCTAGAACTAGCTCTGTAGACCAGGCTAACTTCAGATTCAGAGATCTTCCTGCCTCTCTTTCCCAAGTGCTGGGATTAAAGGTGTGTGCCACAATGAGTGGCCCTTGTTATATTTTTTTGAGACAAAGTCTTACTCTTCCTGCCAAAGTCTGTCAAGTGCTGGCTGATTTCAGGTGTGAGTCACCAGGCCCAGCTAATTCAACCCTGTTTTCAGGTAAGACCACTAGACTCTCCTGCTGCTTCTGTTCTTTCTTGCCTTCCACTGCAGAGCAATGCATAAGACAGAAATTAATATCAAATGGACTCAAGGACATTTTGGTCAATGAAAATATTAGGCCAAATATCTTGCTTTTGTAGAGCAGACTGGTCTTGAACTCACAGAGATCCACCTGCCTCTACCTCCCAAGTGCTGGAACTAAAGGCGTGTACCACCACTGCCTGGCAAAACCATATATCTTAAAACCAAGATGAAAACTTTTTTTGAGAGGTCCTAAGTAGCTCAGGCTATTTTCAAACTCATGAAGCAGCCCAGGATGGCTCTGATCTTCTGATTCTCCTGTTTCCTCTCCCCAGGTGATGAAATTACAAGTATGCCACTATGACCGTTTCTGGAGAAGGTCTTGGTTCTGCCATAGACAGAGGCTATGGTAACTAGAGTTAGTGTTTAAGAAACACCTCAAACTCAGAGATCTGCTTGCCTCTGCCTCCCAATTGCTGGGATTAAAGGTGTACGCCACCACTGCCCAGCTAAAATAAATTTTAAAAAAGAGAAAGTAAACCAAGAACTTTCACATGGTTCTGAGTGGCTGTTCCTATATCTGTGACAGGCTGGAATAAAACACACTTCCTCAAGTCTACAAGTGACCTGCAGGTTTCAGGCTTGGCTTATCACCCCCTCCCCCAGACCCACCACCTCCATGAATGTGTTATGAAGCTCATGAGAAAGAAATCTGTCACTGTCCTCCTGCGTGTTCTATTGCTTGGGGTGCAATGGACAGAATACCAGTCACAAAAGGACACTGCAGAACAAAACGACATCTGTCAGTAGAAAACAAAGGCATGCTTTTCAAGTGCTGTAAGCTTTCATCAGAAGCTGCCCTGGCTCTGGCTCACTCGGACCTAAAAGCAAATTCCTTGGGGCTTCTCTTCCTTGGCCCTGACTTGCTTTTGCTGGCATGTCTCAGAGAATGTGGCTAATCCAGAGGAATCATACAAGGCAGAGAGGGTTCTGAGCTCAGCTTGCTAGGGTCTGTATGAAACAATTTGGGTGGTCATGCTGACAGAGCCACAAAAAAAAAAGCCATTAGTGAAGCTGCAGCAGCAGCACACCCTCCTGGGGAATTCATAATGTGAGTGGCAACAACCCTGCTCTGCTCCCTGTATGCCTATCAGGATGGGAAGGTGGGAAGGCCAGTGTGCTCTAGGGCTTCTCTGCACTGGGCACTTCCATTTTATGCTAGGTTGTTGCAAGAATTTCATCAATGACTTTGTGTTTTGAGACAGAGTTCTCTGTGTAATCCTGGCTGTCTGGGAACTAGCTCTGTAGACCAGGCTGGCCTCAAACTCACAGAGATCTCCCTGCCTCTGCCTCCTGAGTGCTGGGATGAAAGTTGTTCACCACATCACCACCTGGCTCATCGATGACTTTTAATTAAAGATCATTTGAAACCCTGAGTCAAACACTGGCTGTTTGAAAAGCCAATTCCTACTGTTGCTAGGGCCCATGGAGATGGGGACTAAGTCACCAGTCAGGGCATTTAGAAATTAAAAGATAGCCAGGCATTGGTGGCAAATGCCTTTAATCCCAAACCTTGGGAGGTAAAGGCAGGTGGATCTCTGTGAGTTCAAAGCCAGCCTGGTCTATAGAGTGAGTTCCAGTAAGTCAGAACTGCTACACAGAAAAACCCTGTCTTGGTTGAAAAAACAAAAACCAAACAAACAAATAAAAAAAAACCCAAAAACCTTCATATACTCCTAAGAGAAATGGCTGCTGGAGATCTCATACACACACAAGCCTCAGGTGCATTTGTGTTCAAGCCTACTTCTCTAGAATCTTATTGTCCCTTCAATATTCTACAAACTAGGAGAAAATCAAGCATGCAGAGCACAGGCCTTCTATACAGGTTTCTGCAAAAATCCTATCACTTTCCACGTGCTGAAATCTAAAACCAAACCATTATTTTGGTGCTGAAGAGATGGCTCATTGGCTAAAAGCATTGTCTCCCTTGCAGGGAGGGAACCTTGGTTTAGTTCCTAGTACCCATTGTAATTCACAACCACCAGTAACTTCAGTTTCAGAGAAGCTTATGCCCTCTTCTGGTCTCCAAAGCCACTGCATACACAGACACAAGATCAAACACAAATACACATAAAATAAAAATAAATTTTTGATAGTCATGGTGGCACATGTCTTTAATCTCAGCACTCAGGAGGCAGAGGCAGGTGGATCTCAGTGAGTTAGAGGCTAGCCTAGTCTACAAAGTGAGATCCAGGACAGCCATAGCTACTACACAGAGAAACCCTGCCTTGAAAAAATAATAAATACATAACTCTTCAAAAAATAAAAAAATAAAATAAAAAGGGCTATGTGGCCTCAAACTTCTGGTCTTAAAAAGTCCTCCTGCCTCTGCCTCCTGAGCAGCCAGATGCCACCATGCATGGCACATTTAAGGGATTACTTAGTTAAAATGTGCTCACTGCAGTCACAAATCAGTAATAGTAATGCTTCAGGGTGATCACAAAACTCTATTTCTGCCTAATTTATTTCCCTCAGTTTACAAAGCCTCAGAGGTCCACATCAGCTCCCAATGCCACTGTTTGCAAGCTGACATGCCAGCAGCTGACGAATGCTGCAAAACCTTGTGTGCACACTTCCATGGATTTTGGGTTTTGTGAGAGAATCCTTGACTGAGTACAGTGGCAGGGAGCAGCAAGCTGTGCAGTCACCATTTTTATGTTCTTATTGGGATTGTACAAAGGGCTACATCTGACTGAGGTAAAATATGAACAATACACTTAAGATCCCAACTATCAAAACCCTTAAATCTACGATTTCTTTTTAGAGACAAAGCAATCCTCTCCCCATCTTTACCCAGTGACAAGAAGACTCTGACAATCCCTTTCCTGTCCTTTGCCCTCTCCCACTGTCAGCTGCCCTGCCATGGAATTTTAGCCACCAGGTCAGACACTTACCTCCTCCGCTGTGTCCTTCTCTATGCGAACAATCTTGTTTTCCCAGTATATCCGCTGTGATTCCAGCTGGCTTGTTAGTAAGTATGAATACTAGAAACAGAACAAACAGCCAGATGTGAGCCATCACCAATACTGAAACCCAGTGAATACCGCCCCGGTGATAACCAGTAGAACTGCGCCCAGAATCAAGGTCTCCATGGACCTTATACTCACAATAAAACCAAGTGAAACTAGAAAACTCAGAAAACAAACAAAACAAAACAAAACAAAAAACAGCTATCAGGCCATGGTGGTCCACACCTTCAATCCCAACACTCCAGGATAGCCAGGACTACATAGACAGCAGTTATTGCAAGAATCGGGAGGGGAGGAGTAGGGGGAAAGAGAGAGAATGGAGACATGGTTTTGCTTATTGCCCAAACTGTCTCACACTTGAGGCATTGCCACTTTCCAACCTTACCAACTGGGCACTTGAGACTTATACTCCCAAGCTACACTTGGGTTCAACCCAGAACAATGGCACTGGGCCAGAGGTACGCAGTGGAGCTTGGGAAAAATCCCAGAATCCAATTTTACATACACACATACATATATATTGTTATTTATTTATTGTTTTTTTCCCCCAAGACAGAGTTTCTCTGCATAGATTTGGAACCTAGAACTTGCTCTGTAGACCAGGCTGGCCTGGAACTCACAGAGATCCACCTGCCTCTGCCTCTTGAGTGCTGGGATTAAAGGTGTGACACTACAGGATGATCTGTGTGCCCAACAGTTCTGTGGTAGGATTGTCTGTGGCAGATAGGGTTTACCACTCATAAGAAAACTAAGTGTGCTAAACATGTTTTTCTCAAACACATAAACTTAGAAATGGCTGTAACGATAGCCCCAACTCACAGAACACACATTAGCACACAGCTGTGCATAAACAACTCTAGAGAAGAAAGGCACTGCTGGGTCTGCTCTGACCAAGTCTCCTTTTTCCAACTTCTATGGAGCCACTGACAGGAACACCCTACCTTTCTGTTTTACTGCTGCTGTGGAAGATGACCTGAATTGCCTTAACTAATGAACTGGAACTCAAGGCAACCAGGGACATCACACTGAAAACAGTAAGGCATGGGGAAGCTTAGACTTTCAAAAGACAAACATTTTAGAAATTTTTTGCAGAAATGACAGAACTTAAAAAAAAAAAAAAGTTTCTACACAGGGCAAATGACTACAATAAAAGGTCAAAACACCTTTCTCCAGAGAACAGAAAAAGGCAGTGATAGCAACTGCTAAGCAACAGCTCACAGCGTCTCACCTCTAACTGTAAGGCATCTATCTTCTCTTCCTGGCAGGTGTCGCCCTCACACTCGTACTGAACAATCTTTCCATCCGTCTTGCTTGCAACCAGGCGATGGACATAATTATCTAAGGAAAGAAGAGTCAGCCAGAAGAGAAGGAAAATTTCTCTGCTCTTAGTTCTGAAATATGCTTGTTTTTAGAAATCCTAATTAATTGATGTTTGATTTTTCTTTAAAAATGGCTCAAAATTATTTGAACTTCAGAGTGAGAGAGGGTGAGAACAGACATCTAAACTCTCTTTGTAACTCTCAATCCCTAAGCATGGCACTCTCATGGTGACTGCACAATCTGAGTTTACCTAGATGTTAGGAGGATGACATTTCACATTGTGAGGGAGTTCTACTGGAAAGAATTCAAATCAGATTCACTTACCTCCAGCATAGTCCCAGACCCGATGGTTGGTAAGCTGCATGGCATACGTGTGCTGAGTTTCCTCAAAGTGCTTGTAAGCATGTCGACTTACATACCGTCCACATCCTATGTGGCCACATATTAAACAAATCCAGAGGTTCTGCCAAGAGAAGAGATCCGAATTAGTGATGGGGAGGGGAGGCATGTGACCTGGCTCACATGGCTTGGAAAAAAGATAGCTAAGGAGCTGTTTCTACAGACTTCTGAATAACAAAGTTCTAAAATCCTGGGTTCTTATTGATCTACCATCCCGTCTCTGGTTTCTGTGGAGTCCTAAGGACAGATTCACAAATGATTGGTGGGCATCTCAGTCTCCCCACCCCCCAGACAGGGTTTCTCTGTGGCTTTGGAGCCTGTCCTGGAACTAGCTCTTGTAGACCAGGCTGGTCTTGAACTCACAGAGATCTGCCTGCCTCTGCCTCCCAAGTGCTGGGATTAAAGGTGTGCACCACCATCACCACCACCACCACCACCACCACCACCACCTGGTGCATCTCAGTTTTAAAAAGAATCTGTGTGCTCATACACTTGACTGCAAACAAAAAAGAATTAGTATCACAAAGAATCTAAGCTGCACTGGGCAGAAGAAAACCCCACCAATAAAGCTGCTCATTACCCCTCCTCACCAACAGTACTTACTTCCTGGACACCACATTCAAAACACTTGTTTTCTTCCACTGGCTCTGGCGTTTGACAATATCGGCAAACAGGACACCTGACCAGGACATGGAAGATAAAGCTGACAATATATACAGGTGTTGAAGCCTAGACTATAAACCTTCCCCTCTCTATGCCTTTTTTTTTTTTTTTTTTTTTTTTTTTAATTTACTTAACTGAGAGACAGGATTGTTGTATGATATTTTGATTGTGTTCTGACAATAAAGCTTGCTTTGAATTAGAGGGTGGAGCCAGCTACTAGCTGAACAGAATTAACCATAGAGGTTTTGGAGGACTGAGGACAGATACAGAGACAGGGAGTATTAAGGCGGGGCTTAGACAGAGACAGGATCTCAGTCTTTCTGGATGGAGGAACAGAAGAGATAGGAGGTCACTGGTTGCTTCTCTGCCCAGTCAGGTTCTCACCCCATATCACTCCCAAGTTTTTATTGATAAAGAGTAATTAGATAAATGCACTACAGGATCTCACTACACAGGCCTGGCTGGCCTGGAGCTGCCTATGTAGACCAGGTTAATGTTGAACTCACAGAGGATAGCTTGTCTCTGATTCCAGGTGCTGAGACTCAAGATATGAGCTACAGTCCAGCCAATTATTTTTCTTGCTTTCTTTGAGACACTTGCTTTCTTTGGGTCTCACTAGCCCCAGCTGACCTGGAACTTTCTATGCAGACCAGGTGACCTGAAACTTACAGAATCTTCCTGAGTTCTGGGGTTAAATGCAATTCCAATCATACACTGCTCCCAGCCAATTTCTAAAAAGGTTTATTTTTACCTGTATGTGTGTGCCCACCAAGGCCAAAAGAGGGCATCAAATCACCTGGGGCTGGAGTTACAAGTGGCTATGAAGAACCCAATGTGGGTACTGGGACTCTAACTGGGTACTCTGCAAAAGCAACCAGTGCACTTAACTGTGGAACCACTCTCCAGACATAAACATGACCCCCCACCCACCAGGTAGTTCAGCCTGAAGATGACCTTTAACTCCTGATCCTCCTACTTCCACCTCCCAAGTGTAAGTATTACAGGTGTGTGCCACCATGTTCAACTGGGGTAACCCTTTTCTAATACACTCCAGATGAAGTAATATTCAGTACTGGTCATCAAAATATTTTGTTTGACTGGGATACAATTGGAGCTGACTGAACTGCCACCAAGAAAGCAAGCTCAACGTGTATCAATCCTCCACTCAATCTTTGGCCAGGTTATGAGGAGCAAGGACAAGGCACAGGCAGGCAGAAAGCCAACATCCTGCACTGGCAAGAAGGAAGCTGAAGAAGGAAGCCATCTGACTTTCTTTAGTGCTGAAGAAGATGGGCAGGTGCAGTGCTGCTTGGATGTAGGGCCAGGACTCAGGAGGGAAGCAGGAGAAATGCATAAGCTCAAGGCTAACTTCAGCTACAAGCTTGCTTACATGGTAAGGACTTGTTTTCCACTTTTAAAGTTTTCTACTTTTAGAGAGAGAGAGAGAGAAGAGAGAGAGAGAGAGAGAGTGTGTGTATGTGTATGTGTGTGTACATATATGCACCATGTGAAGCAGTGCCTGTGGAGGGCAGAAGAGATGATTGAATTCCCCAGAACTGGAGTTACAGCTAATTATGAGCTATTTAACATGGATGCTGGGAACCAAACTTGGGTCCCTGCAAGAGCAGGAAGTGCTCTTAACTGTTATGCATCTCTCTAGTTCCCTTGTTTGCTTTTGAAATAGGTCTCATATAGCCCAGGCTAGCCTCAAACTTTCTAGTAGTCAAGGACGACCTGTTCAGTTCCCTAGTATTGGGATGCACCATACATGTGGTTTAGGCAGTGCTAGGAATGGAGTTCAGGGTTTCCTGGTTAGGGCTAGCCAGTCAGGGATTTACCAACTGAACTTTATCTCTAGATCTGAGACCTTGTTTCAGTTAAAACAACAGATAGAAAGGGACTGAGAGTTTAGAGGCAAAACTGTAATTATCAAGGAGGGAGGGAAAGGAGAGAGAGTAAAAAAGATAAGGAAGTAGGGTAAGGGGGGAAAAGAAAAAGGGAGAATGATGGGGGACAGTGGGAGAGAGAAAGAAATTGGGAAGTAGTGACTGAAATGGCTCCTGGAGGGTTGGAGAGATAGCTCAGAGGTTAAGAGCACTGGGTACTCTTCCAGAGCTCCCGAGTTCAATTCCCAGCAACTACATGGTGGTTCACAACCATCTATGGTAGGATCTCATGTTCTCTTCTGGCATAAAGTTGGTAGAGCACTCATATACCATATACATAAAATAAATACATAAATCTTAAAAAAGAAAAAAGCTCCTGAGTTATATGGAGCAGCTACCACAGGTAGACAGTCACTTCCTGTGATCCTGCCTATGTGGTGGCTGTAGCAGAGACTGGATAGGAAAACAAACTAATACCAAACTCTAATTCTGACTAGGCTATGTATCAGAATCCAGGGAAGGTAGTCTAAACCAAACTCTTATAGCACACAGTGAGTGCATTTTGACATTCCACTCCACCTGTGAAAACACCATTTATTGAAGACTGAAGCTTCTGCCAAAATCCAGCTGTCTCTGCCTCCCTGGAATAAAAGTTGTGGCCATCATGCTTGGCTTCCACATCCTTTATTGTGTGGGTGGGGTCGCTCTGTAGCCCAGCTGCCTTTAAACTCTTTACCTTCCCATCTCCAACCCATATATGGCCACTTCACTTGGCTTTTGAATCAGCCTACTTATTTTATGTGGAAGTCAAAGGAGAGTTCTGTGCAACTGGTGCTCTCTCTCCCTCCACCATGTGACTCCAGGGGATCAAACTCAGGTGTCAGGCTTGACATCAAGTGCCTTTACCCAGTGAGTCATATTGCCAGCCCTAAGCTTCAACAATTTCTCTTATTTTTGCCCTTTTCTTTTGCTTTTTCAAGACAGGGTTTTTCCTGGGTAGCACTGGCGGTCCTGGAACTCATTCTGTAGACCAGGCCAGAGCTCAAGAGGTACACCTGCCTCTGCCTCCTGAGTGCTGGGATTAAAGACAGGTGCCACCACTGCCCGACTCATTTTTACCTGTGTGTGTGTGTGTGTGTGTGTCTGTGTGTCTATCCATAGTACAGTTTGTGAGCGTGTGTGTGTGTGTGTGTGTGTGTGTGTGTGTGTGTGTGTCTGTGTGTTTATCCATAGTACAGTTTGTGAGCATGTGTGTGTGTGTGTGTGTGGGCATGCATATGGAGACTGTGAGTGTCCTCCATCAGTCTCCCCGGATTTGAGGTACGGTCTTTTGATGAATGTGGAAGTCATGTTTTTAGCTAGTCTAACAGCCAGGACCCCCACAATCCCCCCATCTCTTCCTCCACTCAGTGCTGGGGTTACAGGTGTGTGCAGGACCATGTCCAGCTTACCTTGTGGGTTCTCATGCTTGCATAGCAAGCCTTCTTAATTGCCCAGTCATCTCTCTTCCCCCACAGTCATCTCTCTTCCCCCTCATTTACTTTTTAAAAAGATTGGCTGTTCATTAATTTATTGTAGTTCTGGAAATCAAGCCATGGGTCTTGGGCATCCCAGGCAAATGTTCTAACAAAGTTTCTCTGTGTAGCTCTGGCTGCCCTGGAAGATGCTATGTAGATCAGGCGGGCCTTGAACTCACAGAGATTTTCCTGCCTCTCTGCCTCTGCTGGGATTAAAGGAGTCTGCTACCACTGCCCGGCAACAAATGTCCTAACTTTGAACTACACCTCACTACTTCAGTGTAGTTAATAAGGGTAAAGTATCTTTGATTTAGGAAGGAAAAAAGGGTACAAGCACCAACTGACTAACTTTGTTCTCTGTCTGCGGTGTGTGCACTGTAAGGAGGACACAAATGTGTGTGCTGCATGCCTGGTGACTGCTGTGACTACTGGATGCTTGGCCATCGGCAGCCCAGTGAAGTGACATGTTGGGATGGGGAATACAGCTCACTTGGTAGAGTCCTTACAGGCACAGAGCCCAGGTCTAACTCTAACTTCACATAATCCAGGGTGATGGCACACACCTGTGTCCCAGCACCTGGGTGGTGATGACAGGATCAGAAGTTCTAAACTATCATTGGCAACATGTGAGTTTAGGCCTGGATACTCCTGACTCTCCTGCTGCCACCACACTGTAACCGAACAGCTTTAAGCTTTGACTGGGTGTAAGATTCTCACTTATGGCTCTTGGGAGGAAAGGACTCATGCTGCTTTGGGAAGATGCACAGCAATTTTGGAGCAGTGTCTGCACTAAGATGGAGACAGTACTGGGTATAGTGGTGAAACCTTTACTACCAGAACTTGGAAACAGAAAAAGGAAGATCTCTGTGAGCTAGAAAGAATGGCTCAAAGGTTAAGAATATTGGCTACTCTTTCAGAGGACTTGGATTTTTTTCCCCCAGCATTCACAACTTATAACTGCCTGTAACTCCAGTCCCAGGGGTTTTGGACACACTTTAACTGTCCCATAGGATCCTACATGCAATGTGAAGCACATAAATGCACACAACCATATGTGTGCACACACAAACAATGAGAAATGAAAATTTTAAAAAGGTTTAAAGAACAACTTTGGACTGGAGAGATGGCCCAGTGGTTAAGAGCCCTTTCTGTTCTTGTAGAGGACCTAGGTTCCATTTGCAGCATCCACATGGCAGCTGATAACCACCCACAAACTCCAGTTCCAGGGGATCTGATGCCCTTGGCATCATTGGGCACCTGCATGTATGTAATGCACATAATTTCATGTGTGTACACGCACACACAAATAAAAAACAAACACATGACAATTTCCACAAGAACTGAAGAAAGGCAAGTAGAAAGGTCAAAGTCTTGTTCCCATTGCAATCCCAGCTTTGCAGAGATTAGGAGTGTTTGTTGATGGCTATTTTGAATTCTAGAAAGGGTCATAAGGCCCCACGAGGTGGAGCAGCCCCTGTACTCACGTGGTGTCATCCCACCGCTGCAGACACTGGCTATGGAAGCTGTGGTTGCATAGGGTGGTGAGGATGCCATTCACAGACTCATCCATTCGCTCCAGACAGACAGTGCACTTGGGGAGCTCTGTCAGGTCCATCACAGGGAGGCTGGCGCCCTACATGAAACATCTGGTTAAGTGCCACTCCTCATCCTTTGTCATCTTCTTGTTGCTTTTATTGTTCATTTTTGGAGACAGAGTCCCTCTCCAGACCAGGCTCACCTGGAACTTTTAGCAACCCTCCTGACTCAGTTTTGCAAGGACTGAGATTAGAGATGTGAGCCATATCTGGCATATGCTTCTTTATTGATTGATTGATTGATTGATTGGTTCTTCAAGACAGAATTTCTCTATGTAGCTTTGGAGCCTGTCCTGGAACTTGCTCTGTAGATCAGACTGGCCTTGAACTCAAAGATCCACCTGCTTCTGCCTCCCAATGGGATTAAAGGTGTGTAACACCTTCTGGTTTTTCTTTTCAAAAGGAGATTTTTTTTTTTTTTTGCTGGGCAGTGCATGCCTTTAATCCCAGCACTCTGGATGGAGATGCAGAAAGATCTCTGTAAGTCCAAGGCCATCCTAGTCTACATAGTGAGTTCAGACACTGCCTCAGAAAACAAGACAAAACAAAAAAGGCTGAGCATTGTGGTGAATGCCTTTAATCCTAGCACTCAGGAGGCAGAGGCAGATGGATCTCTGTGAGTTCAAGGCTAGCATGGTCTACAGTGAGTTCCAGATAGGCAATACTATATACAGAATTTGATTCAAAGAAAATCAAAACAAACAACAACCAAAAAAACCAACCAAACAAACAAAAACATAACAAACAACTGAAACACAAAAAATTAGGAAGGAGACTAGGTTTAGTATTTTGAACAAAAATGCTTTTTTCTGTTTCAAACAGTGTCCCACTGTTCTGGGATAGTCACAACCGTGTAGATTCTTCTGGTAACTTTCAGTTGGGGACAGGTCTTGTTATATACCCTAGGCTGGCTTCCAACTCACCAGTCCCTTGCCTCTGTTTCCTGAGTGCTGAGGCAACACACATGTACCATCACACCTATTTTCTACATTTTAAGAATCTCACAACTGTCAGCTGGTCCCTTCCCATTCTGCTTTTCTCCCAGACCCCAGAACCAGTTTTCTGTCTCTCAGTCTCCACAGGGAAGCCTTTCTGGATGTTTCTGTAAACATCTTAATTTAACCTTATACCAGTTAACAACATTTCTCCTCAGACCTAAGAAGTATTCAGACTTACATCTTCAGATTTCAGCACTTCAGCCCTTTCCACATAGACCAGCTGGCAAACGTCATCTTCGATGGAGTTGAACTGGCGGCCGTTGCATGCCATGTAGAAGCTATCTGCATCAGCCTGTGCACACGGATAGGGAGAGGCAAAAATAAAGGCTGGTCACGGAAGACGCTCACACATTCCCACATTTACAGTCAGAAAAGGTAAGCTTGAAGTGGCATTCCTTGGAGCCACAGAGCCGATAGAGCTCTGCATCTCTGTCTATAGGCCTGGCCTACAAGACAGAAGGCACTACAGTATGCTGAGCAGACCTGTGTACTGTTAATAGTCACCCACCTGGGTACTTCTTTCCCCAATAGTCATCATTTTGGTGGCTTTTTTTTTTTTTTTTTTTTTTTTTGAGACTGGGTTTCTCTGTATAGCCCTGGGTGTCCTGTAGACCAGGTTGGCCTCAAGCTATAGATATCTGCCTCCTGAGTGCTGGATTAGAAGCCTGTATCACCACAGCCTGAAATTCTTGAACAACTTTTAATTTCACTCCAGTGATGTAATTTCATGGTTTTTTGAGGCAGCTCGGCTAACAGCTCTGTCAATCGAACTCACTTTATAGAGTAGGCTGGCTTTGAACTAACAGAGATCCACCTATTTCGGCCTCTTTAGTGCTGGGATTAAAGGAATGCACTGTCACCACCGGTATCATGGTGAATATACCATAATTTATTTTTATTTTATGTGTAATGGTGTTTTGCCTGTATGTATACGCACAACATGCCTGCAGTGCCCAGGGGAGCCAGAATAAGACATCTGACCCCTAATAACTAGTCACGGGCGATTATGAGCTGCCATGTGGTTGTCAGAGACTGAACCCAGGTCCTCAAAGAGCAGCCTGTGCTCTGATATGCTGAGCCATCATCTCTCCAGCCCCACATTTTGGATTTTTTGTTACTCATGCTTTCTTCATATAAGCCAGTGGGCAGAGCCCAGAGAAAGAATGGTCAATTCTGATGCAGTTCTGGGCAGGCAGTGCGTTTTTAAGTTCAGACGTTTAAGGCTTGCTGTGGGACAACTCTCTCACACACTAAGGAGCCTCCCCATCCTCCAGGGCTGTTCCTGAAGACACTTGGATGAGGTGGTGGATCTCACTGGCTGAGGTACTTCCTAAAGGGGCAGCCAGGCCAGGAGGCGGCTTGGCTCAGCTTCTACAGTTCAAAGATCTAACTGTAGCTGCTGGACCATGAGCTCTCTATGTCTCACCAAGTGACAGGACTTCTCACAGAAGGGACAGGCATAAGACTAAACCCAATGCACTCTGGGTTCATTATTGTATTCTTGAGGGAACTATTCATCTGTATCAAAGAAATATACTTTAGAAGCCAGCAAGATGACTCAGCAGGTGAAAGTGGTCAACAGCAAGACTGACAAAATGAGTTCAATACCTGCAGCGCATATGGTAGAGCAAGATACACTGCAAGCTATAATCTGATCTGCACACGCATACTGTGGCATGATCTCAAGCATGTTTGAGCACACGCGTGTGTGCACACACGCGCGCACACACACACACAGCAATACAATTAAAATAATAAAGAGATATATAGGAGTTAAGAGATGGCTCTGCAGTTAAGAGCACATACTGCTTTACTGGAAGACCTGGGTTCATTCCCAGCACAGTTACCAGATGGCCCACAACCAGCTGTAACTCTACTTCCAAGAAACCCAATACCCTCTTCTGGTCTTTGTAGGTAGGTACTACATATACGACAAACAAACAAATTAAATCTAGTCTACAAAGTGAGCTCCAGGACAGCTAAGGATATTACACAGAGAAAACCTGTCTTGAAAAACCAAAATAGGTGGGCGGTGGTAGCACACACCTTTAATCCCAGCAGAGGCAGGTGAGTTTCAGGCCAGCCTGGGCTACAAAGTGAGTGACAGGATAGGCTCCAAAGCTACAGAGAAATTTTGTCTCAAAAAAACAAAAACAAAAAAACAAAAAAGAAAAACCAAAGTAATAATAAATACATAAATAAAATGTACTTTTGTTTTGTACAGTATGTTTTATACTATATAAGATGACATCACTACTGTATGTATCCTGCTCTGACCTTGAACTCAAGACCATCCAACCTTAGCCTTTTGAGTTCAGAGACTGACTATAAGTGTGCACTACCATACCAAGCAAACCAGGTTTTACTGTTGTTTTATGGGTTTGCATGGCCTAGGCTGGCATCAAATTCCTGGTTGTTCTGCCTCTGTTGTGCTGAGATTATGAGCATGTACCATCATGGTCAGCCAAAATATACCACTTTCTGAAATGATACTGTCAATAGCTGAACTCTCCAATGTCAACACACTGGCATCCTCTTTACAATGTAGGTGCTAAAAATACAGGCTGGAAACCCTTTCTCAAACAAAATAAAAAAAAAAATCTATACTGTTAAAATGCTGCATGGGACTAGGCATGATGCCAGCACAGGAGAAGCTGAGAAAAGCGGAAAGTCTGAGGGCAGCTGGGCAGTGGTGGCGCACACCTTTAATCTCAGAACTCAGGAGGCAAAGGCAGGAGGATCTCTGAGTTTGAGGCCATCATGGTCTACACAGTGAGTTCCAGGACAGCCAAGGCCATGCAGACTCAAAAAAACAAAAACAAAAATCTGAGGGCAGCTGCAGTGGTGGCACACACAACTGGCAGATCTCTGCTAGTTCAAAAACAGACTGGAGTTCCAAGACAGTTAAAACTAAATAGTGAAACCTTGTCTCAAAAAGACAAACAATAGAAAAACAGATTTTGAGGGCAGGGGCTAGAGACATGGACCAGAAGTAAAAAGCACTTGCTCTTTCAGAGGACCCAGGTTCAATTCCCAGCACCATGTGCTAGTTCAACCATCCTTACTCTAGGTCCAGGGATCTGATGCCCTCTTCTGAGCTCCAAGGACACTGCACACACATGGTGCACATCATACATGCAGGCAAAACATTGATACACAGAAAATTAAATAAATCTAATTTTTCTTTCCGCTTTGAGCGCAGTCTTCATGATATCAGCAGACCTTGTCTCAGAACAAGACAAAATGTTAGAATTGTATACAACCAAAAATTTAAAGAATTCCAACTTTTATTTCTTGCTGTTTAATTATGTTTTACTATGAGAGGAATTCAGGGCAGAGACTGTGTTTTTACTTTTTAAAAGGCCCAGAGTCCTAGGCAGTCCTGACTAAGCAAACCAGGCACAAAGCATCAACACTGTGGAGTAGTCATCTGTCCCACACACTTAGGTTTTCATGCCCTGATGATTTACAAATTCCTTAATTAAAGACTGATTCCTAAATTTTAATGGACCTCCAATGGAAGTTAAGACAACAGAAGCCAGCAAGATGATGCAGAGGGTAAAGGCAATTGCCACCAAGGCAATTGGTTTGACTCCTGAGACACATAGTAGGAGAGAACTGACTGCCACCAACACACACACACACACACACACACACACACACACACACACACACACACACACACAGAGAGAGAGAGAGAGAGAGAGAGAGAGAGAGAGAGAGAGAGAGAGAGAGAGAGAGAAAATAGTTAGGGACAACAGAAATTAGAAAATATTCACAAGACTTTTTGGATTTCATGAAAAAGGTGGGGAGTACTTTACAGAGCTGCCTGTTTAGTACTAAAGCTGCATCTTCACTCAACACTGCTGATCTAACTTTGGGAAGTGACTAGCTACATCTTATTTGCACCTGTTCTAAGTACACAGTTGTCAATTTGACTTTACAAATACCCCACTGCCAGGGATATTAAAAATGTGTTTGGAGAGCAGGAGAGCTGGCTCAGTGGTTAACAGCACTGGCTGTTCTTTCAGAAGAACCAGGTTTGGTTCAACAACACATGGCTCACAACCCTTTAAGTCAAGTTCCAGGGGAATGTGATGCTCTCTTCCAGCCTCCATGGACAATGCACATGAGGGGGGTGCACAGACATATATATATGAGCAAAATACCCACACTCTGAGACGCTTTGGAGACAGTGGCTCCGTAAGCTGTTGGACTTGGCAGCACATGTAGTATTAAGAACAGTGATAACATCATGGGTCTCTGTGATATTTTAAAGGTGAGGAATTTGGTTGCAGAGAAGCTAGTAATTAGAATTACACCACTAGATATCAGTAAGATAGATGAGGCCACTTTTTCATCCCTAGGAATGAGACTCAAGCATGGGTAAGGAGACAGTCGTTGTTTGCAAGTCACTAACAACAGCAATATTTTATAGTGAATACAACTGTGATTACCAAATACCACAGAACTAAATTGGAAAATGTCCTAAGCCAAATTTTGACATTTAAGTTCTTTAACCCCAGGTCAGGAGGCTGAGGTCAGGAGTGTGTCCAAGAAAGTTCAAGGCTAGCCTAGGCTAAATAGTGAATTTCAGGAGATCTTGTCATAAAATAAAATAACATTAAAAAAAATCATATATGGGGCTCAACGTGGTAGTACATAATTTTAAGACCAACACTTTGGAGGCAGAGGCAGACAGATCTCTGTGAGTTTGGGTCATTCTGGTATATATGGTTAATTCCAATCCAGCCGGGACTACATAGTAAAACTCTGCTTTAAAAAAAAAAAATTTAGCTCAGCAGTGGTGGTGCACACCTTTAATCCCAGCACTTGGGAGGCAGAGGCAGGCAGATTTCTGTGAGTTCAAGGACAGCCTGGTCTACATGGTGAGTTCCTGGACAGTCAAAGCTATATAGTGAAACTCCTTTTAAAAAGAAAAACAAAACAAAACAAAAAAGCCAAAAAAACAAAACAAAACAAAAAGCTAAAATCCAAGCAAACAAAAAATACCCCACCCAAAAAACCCAGAACCATATGTGTGTGTATGTATGTATGTATGCATGCATGCATGACAGTGAAATGGCTCAACAGGTAAAGGCACCAACTGCCAAGTCTCACAATTCTGGGACGCACATGATAGAAGAAAACCAACTCACGGAAGTTGTCCTCTGATCTCCACATGTGCCCAAACATGCAAATATATACTAATAAAAAATGAATAAAATGTAATTTGTAAAAGTTGTACATAAGGGGCAGTGAGATGGCTCAGTGGGTAAAGGTGCTTGCCCCGAGCCTAACAACGTGAATTCAATCCCTGTAACCTCACTCTGGATTCTTGAACAAGGAAACCTGTGTCATGAGTTCCCTTTTATTGACAAACCTCAGTGGCCCATCAGAGTGTCAAGAACAAATGACCTGTCACATACACACATTTGTAAACTATCCGGATGGGATAGTTTATTCAGAGGAAACCTTTGACCATGGAGGCTAAATTTCCACAAAGTAAGACCTGGTCAAATTTCAATGGACAAACATCACAGGATATAAAAACACAACAAAGCTGAGACAGCTCCTTAGTAACATGAGTAGTTTCCAAAGCTTATACAGACACACATGTTCTTACAAACCAACATGCTTTTAGCAGTACACAAAGGGGAGAAATGATAAAGGTTTCTTACTTAAAAATTTCAAAGGCACTTTCAAATCTAAGGACATCACTGTTCTTTCAATGTGTGTGCCTATTCTTAACACTGCACTATTAGGTCAACACCGATACTTAAAACAACTGGGAAGCTGGAGAGATGGCTGGGATGTAGAGAGATGTATACCACTCTGGCAGAGGACCAGAGTTTAGTTTCCAGCACCCACGTGGAGTGTTCTGTGCCCAGGGGATATGACACACTCTTCTGGCTTCCATGGGCACTACACATACACATAGGCACATAATTAAAAATTTAAAAAAAGATTTTACTTTCTACAATGTCTAAAGAGAATCTTGTAGACAAAATGAAAGTAATGGGGACAATGACACTGAATACATATATGTGTGGGCTTCCATGTCACTGGACTAATAACCACGTGCTAAGCAAACACAACACCATGAGTCAGGTGTGAGGCACGTCTGTCATCAAGCGACATGGGAGACTGAGGCACCAGATTGCAAGCCTATCTGAGCTATAGAGTACAAGGGTGGCTCACAACTATCCATAAAGAGATCTGGTGCCCTCTTCTGGCCTGCAGGCATACAGGATACTATTCATAATAAACGAATCTTTAAAAAAAAAAAAAGAGCCACTGTAATTGCATTTCTAATGGCTATGGGGCCACAACCAAGTTGACCACACCATAAAGGAAACAACCACATTAGAGGCATAAACCACACACACTGGCATCACAGTTACGACAGCAGGTCTGCAACAGAGGGGTGTCTAGCATCTTAACTTTTACCTGTGCACTGAACTTGATCAGCACCATGTACTGATTCGGAGTAGAGTCTCTGATGATTTTCATTTGTTCAATCACGTCATTGAAGGGGGCGACAAACTTCATAAGGTCGTGACTGGTCATGGTGGCAGGGACAGTGAGGACACACAGCATGGCGCTGCGAGGCACATCTTCCTTTAAGGAGGTCATCTTACTAAGAGGATGATAATGAGACCATCTTGAAGAATTGGAGAACACTAACCAAACAACTCTTTTGTCCAAGAAAATATGAAAAAGTAAAATGGCTGATATTTCACCATCTACCTAAACAACTTGTGACTTACTAGAAAATACATACTTATGACTACCCCTGAATCCTTCCTCATGTCTGCAGTGCACTTTAAGGACCACTCTAAGTTCATATTACCCTCCACCAGAGTATTCGATCTTTTTTAGAAAATATTTTATTAGATCCTTGAGAATTTCACACAGTGTATTTTGTATTTTGAGAATATTCACCCCACCAAGCTCTTTTTCAGAATTTTCTTTTTTTCTTCTGGTTTTTCGAGAAAGGATTTCTCTGTGTAACAGCTCTGGCTGTCCTGCAACTCATTTTATAGACAGGCTAGCCTTGAACTCAAAGATCCACCAACCCTTGCCACCATACCAGCTCCTCTGCAGAATTTTAAATTGTGACTTAAAGGGGCCCTATTTTATACTAGCCAAACTCAGTGTTTTATTCTCTTTTCAAATAAGATTTACTTTTATGTGTATGAGTGTTTGTCTACAGATATGCCTGTGCACCACATGCAGGCCTGGTGCCCAAAAAAGGCATAGGATTCCCTGGGACTAGAGTTAAGATGGTTGTGAGGTACCTTGTGAGTGCTGGGAACTGACTCCAGGTCCTCTGCAAAAGTAGCAAGTGCTCTTAACCTCTGAGCCATCTCTCCAGCATCATGTTTTACTCTCTCTAATTTCTGAATAGTAATCTGTTGTTGAAAAACTGTGAAGCACAGTGCTACTGTGAATTTCTCTTAAGAGAGCTCTGGGGAAGAAAGAGCTACAAATTTATGTGAGAATTCTAAACTTGAGGATATGACTGAGGATTACAAAAAGTGCTGCCAAGCTGAACAGCTGGGACAAGGAAGGAGAACCTCCTGCAATGCAATTTGCTTTTGATATGCTGAAAACCGACTTGACAGCTGGGTTCCAAACTGCCTACCTGATGACTGGCTGTTTTCCCAGGACAGATCTGGGAAACAAGTTTGGGCAAGGACAATAATTGAGACATCAACCAATTATCCTATCCCAGGAGCCAAAGGCCCAATTGTTTATCTATCCAAGTGTTTCATTTCCTTGGGCTCTCAGAAGCAAGCTTTAAAACAAACAAACAACCAGAGGAAAGTGGTAACAAGCTGGGTCTAGTGGCATACACCTTTACAGGCCGATCTCTATGAGGTTCTAAGTCAGTCAGGGCTACACAATGAGACCTTGTCTCAAAAACAAAACAAAACAAAACAAAAACACAGATAAAAACCCTCAAAAACAGAGTCAGTCACACAAGAGGTTTTCCAGTTAAAATGAGTGAGCTGGCTTCTTAGCTATGGTAGAGTTGTGGGAAGGATATGGACATGTGGTACTTTGTCTCATTTGATTTTCAGTTCTCCAATCAATATCCATGCCTAACAGCTAATAGAATATTTCCAAAGCTGTTGTTTTCAAGACAGGGTTTCTCTGTGTAACTGTCCTGACTGTCCTGGAACTTGATTTTAGAGCAGGCTGGCCTGGAACTCTGAGATCTGCCTCCAAGTAAGGAAAGCTTTGGCCTAATCTACACCATCAAATACAAAGCATTTCAGAACTCTAGAACACAATACCTAAAGGCAGGCTGTCAAGACTTTGCCTTGACCTTACTTTAGGCCCACATCTTCTGTCCCTACTCAAAGCGGAACCAGAGCGGTCTGAAGGAAAGGACTTGTCTTACTTTGTCTTATACAGATGCATGATGCCATGCACGATCTCAACTGAAGGGTTGCCACTGAAGAAGGAGATCTGGTCTGGGAGCTGCTTGGATGGGGAGTCCGGGGCTGTGTTCACCGACTCGCTTTGCTTCCTGCTCTTCTGTGCAGACAGGGAAGCTGCTGAAGACTTCTTTTCTTCCATTGTGTCTCTCAACTCATCTTACAAAAGCAAAAGTTAGCAGATCACGAACAGGTGAAAATATGCTGCAGGAGCCTAATAAAGTTAGAACTTCATGCTTGGAAAATGAACTGCGACACAGACACTATACTCTATTGCATTAAGAACACTGGAGGGGCTGGTGAGATTGCTCAGAGGTTAAAAGCACTGGCTGCTCTTCTAGAGGTCCTGAGTTCAATTCCCAGCAACCACACGGTGGCTCACAGCCATCTACAATGAGATCTGGTGCCCTCTACTGGCGTGCAGGCATACATGCAGACAGAACACTGTATGTACACATTGTATACATAATAAATAAATCTTAAAAAGAAAAAAAAAAAGAAGAATACTGGAGGCTGAAGGAGGAGGGCTGCAGATGTGGGCTACTTACTGTAACAAACCCTGTCATAAACACAAACAAACCATATTGACAGAACTACTGCGGTCAGGAACATCTCCACTTTAAAGCTGTCCCTGTCTAAAAACATCTCACATCCTTGTAAAAATATGTTAACATCCTAAAAAACCCAAGAAGGGCCCCTCCCATGTCCAGCAGCACCAACACCAACAGGCAGCACTCACCTCTGCTCCTCCTCCTCAGTAAGACAGGCAATCAGGAGGCTCTGAAAACCCACCCTTCCAGTTCTGACCATACTATACTGCAGAATCCACTCCCTCAGCTGAGGCCAGCGAGGGAGGGAGGGAGGGAGGGAGGGAGGGCACTGATGTACTGCTCCTCTGGGACACTCCCCAAGGTCCACTTCGTTTACACTCAATCAATTTTTTTCTTTATTATCCCTTCCAAACAGGGCCTTCTTAGATTGTCTGTTCCCAAACTCCATGGTTTAAATAACCCTTCTGATCTTGTTATGAAGACAATAAAATCATAATAAAAGAAACTCAGCTCAAAAAAAAAAAAAAAAAAAAAAAAAAAAAAAAAAAAAAAGAAAAGAAAAGAAAAAAAGAAAGAAAAAGAAAAGGAAAAGCATTCTAGAGCTAAGGCAAATATGCATGAGGTCCCAGGTCTGTGTCACAGCACCAGACAAACTAGATAATAGTGGTATGTACACATAATTCTCCAACACTCAGGAGGTGAAGGATTAGAAGGGAGAAAGGATTAGAAGTTCAAGGTTACCTTCAGCTTCATACACTTCGGTTAGTATGGGTTAAAAAAGATCTTGTGTTAAAAATAAAAGTAAGGGGCTGCCATTGGCTGTTCTTCCAGAGGACTGGTGTTGAATTCCCAGCACCCACATGGCAGCTCACAGCTGTCTGTAACTCCAGTTCCAGATCTGACACTTTCATACCAATGCTTGTAAAATAAATTTAAATAAACTATAAAAAATAAAATAAAACAGAAGGATGCCAGAGGTGAGCCTCAAGAGTTCACAATACCAAAGCAAGACTAGGCTTCCTGAGGGCATACCTGGGCTGGCCTTCATGGTCTCAATGATCACATCGGTCATTTCCCGACGGCCAAGGTGCTGGTGGATGATTGCAGCTTTCTCTCCTGGTGACTTCCCTTCTAAACAGGAGGCAGCTGAAGCCAGTGTCTTCTTTTTCATCTCCTCATCGGACATCTCCCCAGCTGAGGAACACATGAATGATTAATACCTGATGACAGGACAAATTCCCCTCACTTCTCCGTATTCCAATCAATAGGGTTTCTCCATGTCCACTGCGCTTTTCCAATGGGTGAGATGGAGTTTGCAGTATGTGCCTCAGCCCCTCCAGGACTCCTATAGCACAACCCGACTCCACCCTGGCAACTGTCAGTAGGCATCCATCACAATGATCTCGGAAACATGGGGCTGTGCTAGTGAAATCAAGTACTTACAACAAACCCACAGCAATAAAGGCCTCCCAGAACATGCTGCAGTGAGTATACCCAGACGAACTACCATGAGTGGCACCGAGTAAACTGAGAGCCTATGTTGTGGCCAAAATGCAAGTCTCACGAATAAAAGGCATCTGAGAGACCGAGACATGACGGAAATATCCTTAAAGTCAGCTCTGAGGCAGACCCCAGCTTGTCCAGTCCAGCACTCGTCCCACACAACCCAGCCTGCAGTAGAAGCTCTCTATCTTTGTTGCATAAATGACTCCACGACTGGGCCCATGAAGGTACCTGTATGTGCCTAATGCTGACCTGGTTGACTTTCAATACTAGGGGTCACTTTGAACCCTTGAAAGATGCTTGTAACCTTGGAATAAATCACACTCAGACGGAGTACAAAATGCACAACACGGTAAGACCACCATCTTCCACTGCAGCTCCTAATGCTGTTCTCACCGAGTACCCAGTGATGCCATTTCCCGTGACAAGCGTCATCCTCGCACTCCAGGCTAAAGAACTGTTCCTGTTTCCCTTTTCCATCAACTCAACCTTTTATTCCGTATGCCACAAATTAGAGACTACGTCTAAAGCTCCGCACGGCAAGGCTCTGACACATACCAAGCAATCGCCCTCCCACACACCTTTTTTTTTTTTTTTTTTTTTTTTTCTGTTTGTTTGTTGGGACAGGTTTCCCTGTGACCCAGACTGGCTTGTGGTTCGCCGGTCCTCCTGCCTCCACCTCCGGAGACTCTAATCTCCTGGACCAATGTCACCCACCGGGTAATGTTTTGACGATCAAGGGGGAGTCGAGGCTGCATGGCCCACTAAGGAAGTCTGTGGCCGCCGGTGAAGACGTCAGATCCTCGGGCCCAGCTGGGTTAGAGTATCTGTTTCCAGCCACTCACCCCTAACTTCAGGCAAATCATTTCGCCACAGGCCTGTCTGCCAGTTTGGAAAAGGCGCAGAGCATCCCCCACCCCACCCCCAGGACGCGCTTTCTCGCAGCGAAAGCGTCGAGGGGGGACGTCGAGCACAGGCACCTGGCAGCCCGGGGGCAGGTGGAGCGAGGGCGGCCGACCCGCCGGCCCTGCGCGAGGCCGCGGACTCACCGGCGGCGCTGAAGCCGAAGTCGGCGGGGACCGGCGAGTGACCCGCGAGCTCCAGTCGGATGACCACCAGTGACACACTCATAGGGCAGGCGCTGGTCGGCGTGGGCCCCGGCGGGATGAGGGAAGGCTGCGGGCCGAGCCCAGAGGCCGAGCGGCCCTCGGGCGGCAGCGCCGCCACCGCCTCAGAGCCGCGGCCGCCGCCTCAGCAGCGACAGCCCTCTCGCGCAGCTGGCCGAGCCACAACAACCTCTACTTCCGCCTCCCGGCCGCCGTCTCTGACCCGCGGGGTCGCGCACGCGCCAGCGGGAAGGAGGCGCGGCCCCCGGCGCGCATGCGCTCTCCGCCGCCGAGGCTGCCCCTTGGCTGAGGGACTCCGAGATTGTCTGAGCTCGAGAGTGCCTGCCCTGGGCTGAGCTTCCCAGCCTGTTTTTGCGTCCCGTGCCAAGCTTCTTGCGTTCCGCCCCTTCTCCGGCCGGGTTCTCCCAGGCTTTTTGGTTTCCTGAGTCTTCGGCCTCAGGGTCTTAACTTTATGCAGGTACGGCGATGGGCTGGTTAGGAGCGCAGGCGCCTCACAGGTGACCACGGAGAGCCTGCCGCTGCGGGGCTTTGTGGGATAACGTTTGCAGACAGGAAAACGGACGACCTTCAGCACTTGTGCCATCCTGAGCTAGTAGATGCGTAACACCACACGGTCGTGTGAAATGAAACGCCGTGTGGAGGTAGGGATATGCCTGTAGGTTATGGTTGAATTTGGTTTTGTTGTTTGGTTCTTTTGGGACAGTCTGGTGTAGCGCAGGCTGGTTGAACTGTATATGTTAAACAGCAGAGGATGTCCTTGAACTTCTGATCCGCCTGCTGAAGGCTTTGTGCTAGACAAAGTGGAAGGATAGAACTACCTCAAGAATTGTCCTCCCAGGCATTTGCCACAGTGAGCGCACGCACTGGAATGCACTTAAGTGGCGGAATGCTCTGGGTTCAATGTCCAGTACACACACAAAACAAGAAAAAAGAAAACCCAGCTGCAATCAGTGCGTGTATGGAAAGAACAGGACAGGTTCCTATTCTATATGCTATAACGTATAAAATGTGTGAGAAAGGACTTGTCCACAAACTATATCTGTAACAGGAACACAGGATACATAGAAGAGCTTATGCTGTGTAACATGTCTCACATTCTGTTAGTACCAGGGTTTCCTAATTTCTGCCCTGCTCAGTTGGGTGCTGATAACACTTTCTGGGTGTTTTGTCTGTCTGTGTAGCACAGACGTCAGTAGTACTCTCTTCTGCTGGTAACCAGCAAAAAATGTGCACAAATATTGCCAAATGCCCCCTTTGGGGGCCAAATCACTCTCTATGGAGAATCCCCAGCTTATGTAAAGGCACACAAGCCATCCACACATCGTATATCCCGGGACCATGTGTCAGTAGTAGACATGACTTTATGGTCCTGAGGATAGGCCTATGGCCTTTGGCATGCTAGGCACATGCCATGGCGCTGAGGTGCACCCCCAGCTCAAATGATGGATAAATGGTGTGGCAGGTACTAACTTGCTAGCCTTACATTTTTTACCTCAGGCAATGGCGTCCCCCTTTTGCAATAGGTACTGTAATTGTCCCCATTTTACAGAGGAGAAACCTGAGGTGCAGATATTCTGCCCAAGATTTCACTTTCAATAAGTGGCAGAGTCGGAATTTGAAACCAAAAAAAAAAAAAAAAAAAATCACCCCAGATCAGTTACATCTTTGCTAAGCCATCTCTGTAATATCAACAGTGCACTGTGTGGATATTTATGAAATTATAATTCAGGCAGTAAGTCTACATTATTCTAACCTCATCGTTCTGACTGACAAGGAGACAATAGATACTCTTTTTGGTATAAAAGATTACTAGCATCGTTACCCAGGAATAGACAAGCTGTCACAGCTCTTTACGTCCGTCAGCCACTTACATGTGTCCCTATCTTCCCTTCCTGTGTCCTTCCACCCCTCTCTTCTTGCTATGTAGCCTGGCTAAGGTGGCATTCAAGGCTGTCCTGCCTCTGCCTCCCTTGTGCTAGGATCACATTCAATCAATGCTCACCATTCTCTGCTGTTTTCTGGTCTGTCCAGTTTATTCATCCTTCAGCTCATTTAGCCTGAGAAACTGCTCTAACTCTAGAAACAGTACTAAGCCCTAGGAGATGAATGTCTAGAAGATGATTAAGATAGTCCTTGTATTATGGAGCAGGACCTTGTCTACAGGAGCAGATAGAGAGCAGAGTTATCATGTGATAGAGTAAATACTACTAAAGGTATGCCATAGTCAGCTTGGAGGAAAAAAAAATTCCCAGGAAAGGCGGCAAGGCTGAGGTGTAAATGGAGTGGAAATTTACCAGGCAGGGAAAAGGACTCTGGTCTACCGGCATAGGCGGTGCCAAAGCCTTGAGACATGAGAGATAGAGTGCTTGCTTAGTGTGTACAAAGGCCAGAGCCAGATCCCCTGCAATACACTACTACCAGAGGTGGTAACAAGCCTGAAATCATCATCAGGCCCTGTGTCCTGTGTAGGCTTGGCATACAGAGAAGTGACACTGAAAGAAAGCTCATCAGCCTTCACGTTTGGGGTGTTGTGTGAGGGGGCGAAGGTATTGGTGGGGCATCATCTGAGACGTATGAGTGGCTTGGGGATAGAGCCTGATGGAAGCTGGATCAAGCTGCCCTGTACCTTCTTCTCATACAGCCTCTGTTTCACCATGAGCATAAGGAAGCTCTTCCAGCTGTCTGCTCTCCACTGGACATGGAGGACCCTGGGCAGGCAGCAGGGAGCCCTGCGCTGGACACATTCTGGAGGTCGCAGCTACAGAGCGGTCATTTTTGACATGGGCGGTGTTCTCGTGCCTTCTCCGGGGACCGTGGCTGCTGGTGAGCTCATTACTCTTTCACTTTTCGGGGTTGGGGTGGGAAAAGGGGGTGGTAGGGACGACAGACAGGCTCTGGAGTCCAATTCTAAGCTCCAGTTAATGGCAGTGTTGGAGGCAAATTATTCAACTTCTCTGAGTCTGGGTTGCCTTGTCATTAAATTGGGGCTAATAATAGACCCTTGTTCCCTGGGACTCGGGTGAGAGTTAAATGAAGTGTTCTACAGAAGACACTGTAGATCAGCTGGTAGAGTGCTTCCTTGCTTCCTTGACATGCACACAGCCCTGGACTCAGTCCCCAGTTCCTCATAAACCAGGTGTGGCATTTGGGAGGATGAAGCAGAAGGATCAAGTATTTAAGGTTATCCTCAGCTAAACAGCTAGTTCAAGGGCTACACGAAATTTTTTCTTTATTTTTATTTTATTTGTTTATTTATTTATTTATTTATTTGGTTTTTCGAGACAAGGTTTCTCTGTATTGCTTTGGAGCCTGTCCTGGTACTAGCTCTGTAGACCAGGGTGGCTTCAAACTCTCAGAGATCTGCCTGTCTCTGCTTCCTGATTGCTGGGACTAAAGGCATGTGCCACGAATGCCCGGATAAAGTTTTTCTTTAAATAAGTAAAGAAATAACACAAGGAGCTCTCTCTTTACCCAGCTTCCATGATGTGAGTTGTTGGGCTCTGACATGGCATCCTGCTTGTGAACTAATGCGTCCAAAGCTGTGAGCCCAAGTAAATCTTCCCTCCCTCAAAAACAAATAAAACAAGTGGCATACAGAGAAAAAGGACAGGTTTAAAATTCTCAACCACCGAAGCTACAGAACTGAAGCTATCCCAGAGCATCCTTGCAACGCCCACAGCCAACACTCAAGCATTTGTGTGCTCTTTAGTTTTTGTTGTTCACGATATGACTTCATCGTGAACTCACGTTGTAAGTCAAACATTGGCTAGGGTTTCCAAAGAGGAGCCAGAAGGTAAAGGGTTTAAGCATTGAGGGTCATATGGTTTCTACTGAAAATGCCTGAACACAGGCAACCATTACAAAGTCAGAGAGCCAGGGATGATGCTAAAGGCATGGCTTTCAGTCTCCTGGGTGCTGATTAGATTTTCATATGTCACAAAATACTATCTGTGTTGCATTGTTTTTCAGCTTTTCAGAAGGCAAAGCCATTCTGACTGACAGGCCATGTAAACACTGACAGCAGCTGGATTTGGCGCAGAATTAGTTGACTAAGCCCTGGCTTGAATGTAAAAGACATGTGAAGTGCCTGGGAGTCCAGTACTTGGGCTGGGATGTGGCTTAGTGGTAGAAAGTTTGCCTAGCTCTCACAAGGCCCTGGGTCCATTCACATCACTGCAAGAAAACAGCGGGCAAGAGGTGAGGAGAGAGGGGAACCCAAAGGTCACAGAGCCCCCTCCCTGCTGTGTACCACGTACTTGGGTTTTCAAGTGCAAGGAAAACAAGTTTCTTGTTGCAGTCCTGTTCTTATCCCCTTCTGATTGTTGTGATAAACACCATGACCAAAGGTAACTTGGAGAGGAAACAGTTTATTTTATTGACTTCTGTGTTCTGGTCATTATTTTTTATGGAGGGAGGTTAGGGCCGGAACTGAAGCAGAGGACCATCAGCCCAGGGGTGGCACCATTCACAGAAGGCCAGGCTCTCCTCCATCAACCACTAGTAGAGAAAATGCCCCCACAGGCTTGCCCACTGCCTTAATTAGGGTTTCTATTGCTGTGAAGAAACAGCATGACCTCAGCAACTGTCTTCCATGCTCCTACTGATATGGCCCATTAAGCAATGCTTAAAGCATTCCACTGCTTTCCTAACCCAAAGTACCAAAGTCCAAATTCCTCCAAACAAAAACCTGGTTAGGTCTTTTAGAGCAATACCCCAGTCCCTGGTAGGGTTTCTGTTGCTGTGAAGAGACACCATGACCATGGCAACTCCTATAAAGGAAAACATTTTTGGGGGGCTGGCTTACAGTTCAGAGGTTTAGTTCATTATCATCATGGTGGGGCATGGCAGTGTGCAGGCAGACATGGTGCTGGAGAGGTAGCTAAAGGTTCTACATCTTCTGCAGGCAACAGGAAGTGGTATGAGACACTGGTGTGGCTTAATCATATATGAGACTTTGAAAATCTGACTCTACAGTGACACACTTCTTCTAACAAAGCCACAGTGTAAACATGTTTCCTGTCCAGCCTGCCCAGTCCCAAATAACCACTCTGAAGCTTATACCAATTGTAAATGCTCAGCCAATAGCTCAGGCTTATTATTAACTAGATCTTACATTTAAGTTAACACATACTCCTTATTTACACTCTGCCACGTGGTGGTACCTTTATTAACATGGCATGTTCATCTGTTCCCTCTG